TATATATATATATATATATATATATCTCTATCTCTCTCTCTCTATATATATATATATATATATATATATATATTTATTTCCAGCTGCTGATCTCCAGCTGTTCTCGCTGTAAGACGTGCGACTGCCTCGTGTATGACGAGGAGATCATGGCCGGCTGGACGGCGGACGACTCCAACCTGAACACCACCTGTCCCTTCTGTGGGAACCCGTTCCTGCCCTTCCTCAACGTGGAGATCAGGGACATGAGAGGACCCGGCAGGTAGACCACGACTCTCCGTTGAGAAATTTTTCTTCAGACTTCTGGGATTTTGAGTCTGGAACTCATTTTTCTGATTATTCCTACAACACACGAATGCAGCATTAGGCTCATCCGGCAGACAGAAACAGAAATCTCTGAGAGTGAATGATTCTAGTTTGTTCATGTTTCCTGTTGAACCTGAAAATGTATTTCTAGCGTGTTAAATGAGGCTTTTAAACTGAATAAGATGTATTTGCCTCGGTTGTTAATCTTCGACCCCTTCTGTACGATTCCTCCCTCTCTCCTCTCCTCTCCTTTCCTCTCCTCTCCTCCGCAGGCTTTTCCTGAAGGGCAGCCCGTCGGTGGACGAGGCCATGACCTCGTCGTACTCGGCCTCCACAGGTCTGGACACGGGGACGTCCACCTTGTCCACTCCGTGTCCTACGACGGCCGTCTTCCCTCCCTCCCCTGTGCTTGCTGTCCAGGAGTGTTCGGGGAGTGGAAGGTATTTACATGCTGGTCCTGACATCACTCTTTCTTCTGTTTGGTTTGCTTTATCCTTTAATAACTTGTAGATCAATCAGGGAAACAAGAAGACGCCGTCATTCATTCATCAACATCTCTACTGTCAGATGACCTATTTAAATATTTTGGTTTAAAATGTTTTTTTATGTCCCTGACAAATAGAATCAAATGCAGAAAATGTTTTCCTTAAAAATCGTTTTGATGTGATTTCCAAATGTTTTCTTCAATTCAAAACTTCTTTCTTTGTTTGGAGTTTGAGTGAAACACCCTGAAACATCTGGATTCATTTATTTTATCTTCACTCACTGTTCTGCAGAATGAAAACGCTTTTATTCTAAAACAAAGTCGCAGCTTCTCGTGATTTGATAATTGTTGTGAATGTGATGAGTTGTGTGTTTGTGTTAACGAGCAAAATAAAAGATTACATTTATTTTTACAATTAACACTTGAAATAATGAGATTTCACTAAATGGTTTTATTTTTAAACAATGAACCAACCACTGAGGAGAACAATGAGGAGGATCTTGGGTAGATTAGAACAAATACGAAACAAAATTAAAACCATATCTATTATAAACTGTGACAATCCTCACAGGACTGGATCCACCAGAGCTCCGGGGTTCGGCATCCCCTCGGAGCGCCGGCAGGGGTCTCCGTCCCCCGGAGCGCCGATGGCTCGCAGCGTCAGCGCCTTCGGTCCTCTGGACGAAGCGCCGCTGCTCACCCGCTGCGTGCCGACGTCAGGCAGCCTGCCCAGCCGCCTGAACGAGACCGCGGTACGGTAACAGAGTCTTTACATCATTCAATGCTGTACAATAAAAAGGCACATTCTGCTCAATGTTTTGGCGAACAGGTAAACTGCCATTCAGAAGTTAGTCATCAGCCACAAGAGCTTGATTCTTTACAGTCAGACAACTCTTTTCAATCGGCGAGATTGAAAATCATGTTTTCTTTAAACAATCACCAAAACAACGCCGTTTATCATGGCCCACGGTCCTTGAACACATCATGTGTAACGAACACTTCTGTCAGAAAAAGCAGCTAAAACGGAACTTAAAAATATATTTCAACAACATTTTATTCTTCATGTTTCATTATAAATGTCTCCTCTAATAAAGAGTTCACTTTAACCAGGTTGTGTAGAAACATTAAGTCATGATTGATTCATCTGAGACCAACAGTCATGTGACAACAAGGAGGAGACACTCTGACTGAACTACAGGAAGTGAACACAGAGATGAGAGCAGAGGGGAGAGGAGAGCAGAGAGGAGAGGGGGGGAGGGGAGGAGGAGAGCAGAGAGGAGAGGAG